TGGAAGATCTGTTGGAGTTCCTGGTTTCTGACTCTTGCTTGACCCAGCCTTGGCTGTTAAGAGCATTCAAGGAATGAACCAGTGGATGGATGATTCTCTCTCTCTCCCTCCTTCTGTGGCTCTCCCTGTCACTCTGCTTCTCAAATAAATAAATCTTAAACAAAACAAAACAAGAAGGTGGCTGGTATAGCATTCCTATGTTTTCTAGGCAGTGAGTGGCCCAATCAGGCATCACTGATTTGTTGCTTCTCTGTTGCTCCCTGCGTGGGACTCCTGACTGCTGTCGCAGGCAGGCTGAGCTCAGGATCTGGGGCCCCAGGCAAGTGCAACTCTGCCTGGTTCATCACAGGGACAGTGACGTAGGCTTGCCTGGCCTGGTGAGCAGCCTGATACTCACCCCACCCTGAGTGGGTGCCCTGTGTCATCCCTCTAGGGACTCCCCAGCACATGGGGAGTCACACATATCAAGTGTGACAGACACCCTGAGCAACCAAAACTATTCAGATCTAAACCAGACTCCCCCTTTCCTGTTCAACTTTACCTCTGGGGATTAGTTTTCAGAATTGAAAAGGTACCCTAAGACATTAAAAAAAAAAGTCTTCAGGGCCGACATTGTGGCTTCCTGTGACACTGGCATCCCACGTGGCCACCTTTTCAAGTCCTGGCTGTTCCACTTCTGACCCAGCTCCCTGTTATGTACCTGGGAAAGTACCAGAAAATGGCACTAGTTCTTGGGTCCCTTCCACCCCCAGGAGAGATGAGGAAGGATCTCTGGTTCCTGCTTTCAGCCTGGCCCAGCCCTAGCTGTTGCAGCCATTTGGGAGGTAAACCAGTGGACAGAAAACCTCTCTCTCTGTAACTTTGTCTTTTCAAGAAATTCATTCATTCATTCATTCATTAAATCTTGGTACCCAAAGGAAACAACCAATGCAAATTTTCTCCTAAAATGATGAGTCAGTTCCTTCCTTTAAGCATTCAGAATAAAAACCTAACAAAACAAAACTAAATCACCTTGGAATAGACACTCAAATGTAACCTTGAAGCTGCCAATCCATGCTCAGTCCAGACACACAGCCTTGCTTGCACGTCTTATCAGACCATGTGTCATGCACACTCACTCCCCAAACAACAAAAACCAGATACAAACATACAGGCTCACTCCTGGGATTCCCTCTCTCACCAGGGACAGGAACATCTTGCTCAGGGCTTGCACAATGCTGTCATCTTCCACAGAAGATGACTTCCCCAGCCAGGCTGCAGAGGTGAGCATCTGAGATTTAATGTCTTCCCAGCTAGAAATAATGCAACCCAAGGCTTGGAGCCTCAGGATCACAGCCTTATAGAGGAGGGAATGCTGAGTCACAAGGTATAGCCACTTTTGTTATTGTTAATCCAATGCAGGAAATAAACAGACCATAAAGAACTCACAAATTCTTTCCAAGGTCATACCTTATCCCTTTCCCCAGCCCTACCTGGCCCACCAGGCCAAGTTATCTTTGATTTTAGGTGATGGGTGGGTGGGGGAAAAATGGAACACATAAGAATGGAAATTTTTGCTGTCTCATGTAGGAGCGGGCAGCAGCTGACCTAGGCATGGCTCAGAGACAGGCTCCAATATAGACTATGCATTAGGATCAAGTTTAGGGGGCCTAGGAGATTCAAGATGGCAGGACACATTTAAACAGACACAGAAACATTAGCTATTGTAAAGCAGAGAGGGCACATTTCAGGAAATAAGAGAGGAGACTGACAGACACAGGAAAACAGTGGACACAACGATGTGGTATTACAGTGACCAATACCCCAGCAGCATCCAGAGAGGTGATCTGAACTGCATCAGCAGCCGGAACTCTACCAGTAACAAGGAGGGAAAGGACTTTCACTGGGAGCTCAGTAGGTGAACCCAGATAAAGAACTGCTCATTCTGCTGGTTTGTTTGATTTGACCAGGAGCAGAGACAGAGTGGCAGGTCCCAAGTGGGCAGTGCAGGAACATGGTAGATTTCACAGCCCAGACCACCTTCTAGAGCCAAGTTGGCCACCATTTTGTATAGGGACGCAATGGCTATGGAACAGGACTGCTCATGCACTGAGTTAGGAGTGAACTTATTTCTGGCTCAGTGAACCACAACAACATAGCATCCTACAGGTGCAAGAACTCTAGCAGTGGTACATCAGGTGCAATTTTATACAATGTAGAAAAACACAGGGACCACAGGGATAAAAGTGAGCTGTGCATGCGCTGAGCTGGGAGTGAACTCACTGAGCTCAGAGCACTGCACTGGTCTCATAGGAAAATCATACCGACTTCAGCATCATATAGGTCAAAATAAGTCCATGTGGCCCGCAGACCTAATAGCCAACTGGTTCTGGCAAGATCAGCACCACAAATAATCTAGTTACATAAGACACTTGGTGTCTTCCTAATTCTGGGAACTGCTTAAACTGGAAGTGGGAGAAAGGTAGTATAGACAACAGTGCAGCCTCAGCACGGGATCATAGGAGGTGGAGATTGGTGAGCCAGGAACTGGGGCTACAGAGACCATGGTGGAAATCTAACATAAGAACCCAGACCTGAAACTTGCTGGAGGGAGTGGCACAAGTGACTGCATAAAACAGCTTATGTACCAACTGCAATAAGTAAAATCGAACTGTAGACCTGTGGATGACACAGCTTAGAAACCTGCCCCAAGGAGAAGACTCTGATAACTAGATGTACAATGACCAAGAGCAAAAGAGGAAACAAAGGCACAATGAGTATTATTGAAGACCCCTCTCCAAAGGTGCAAAAGCCTTTGCCAACCTCAGAGTTAACTGAGGAAGACATCAAGAAAATAGCGGATACAGAATTCAAAACACTTTTTATAAAACTTCTTATCAACAATGAGAAGCACATAAAGCAGGCATTCAAGGAATTCAAGGAATATGTCACACAAGGAATGAATCAAATGAAAGCTGATATATCAGAAATTAAGAATACAGTGGAGCAAATTAAAAGCACAGTGGAGAGTCTCCAAATATTTCCAGTCACCAGGGGAAACAAACAAAAAGCTAGAAGCAAAGCTGGATCAGGCCAAAAAAAGTATTAAAGAATTGAAACACACTATTAAGAGGTCAAATATAAGAGTTATGGGAGTTGCAGAAGGTGCAGAAAGAGAAGCTGGGATTAAAGGTGTATTCAATGAAATAATAAGGGAAAATTTCCATAATCTAGAAAAAGAATTGGGAAACAACATCCAAGAGGGGCACAGAACTCCCAACAGGGTTGACCAAAAGCAATTTGTACCGCAATACATGATAATCAAGCTCTCTTCAATTAAACATAAGATCCTTAGATGCACATGTGAAAAAAAAAATCAACTGACATATGAAGGAATGCCAATTAAATTCACAGGAAACCTCTCACAGGAAACTCCACAGGCCAGAAGAGAATGCAGTGACATATTCTAGATTTTAAAAGAAAAAATTCTCAGCCTAGGATAACGTACCCAGCAAAGTTTTCCTTTGTCTTTGAAAATGAAATAAAATTCTTCCACAGTAAAGAAAAGTTAAAAGAATATGCCTCTTCCAAACCTGCCCTACAAATGATACTTAAAGGTGTTCTCTTAACAGAGAAGAGGAATAGCGCCCACCAAAACCAAAGGCAAATGGGAAGAACATCCCAGCAAAATTACAACAGAAGATTAAACCAATGAACAAGCCATTACTAAAATGACAGGACCAAATTACCACCCATTCATATTAATCCTGAATGTAAATGGTTAAATTCATCAGCCAAACGTCATAGAATAGTAGATGGGATTAAAAAACCAAAACCCATCTATTTGTTGCCTACAGGAAACATATTGCACCAACAAAGATCAGCAGAAACTGATCTCATTGATTTTGATTTTTTAAATTTAATTTCATCTCTTCAAAACTCTTCCTCATTAAATTCTTCAATGACTCATAGATCATACAGTAGCATTATTTTGTTCAAGAAGGTTCTTGTTTCTTTTCCATTTCTTCAGTGACACATAAGTAATTCAGTAGCATGTTATTTAATTCCACAGTGTTTTTAATTCCTTTTTTTCTTTCTGTTATTGATATTGTTTTGTGGCTTTTCATTTAAGGGGATGTACAGTAACTGTGTAATGGAGACTATCATATATAGTATCAAGTTATTTAACTTCATGGCATTGTAAATTTCTAATCTTCTTCCTGTTGTTGATTTTGTATTGTGGCTTTTCATTTAAGTAACTGTGTAATGGACACTATCATGTCCAGATGTGAGGATACAATGTAGTATGCATCTCTGGTTTCATATCAAAGATGGACTCTCAATGAAACTGTTAAATGTATCTTTACAATCTGATGCTGCCATTGTCCATGCCCGCAATGATGGACATATGACTGTTTATGAAGAACTATACTCTAGTAATGATATAGGGGAGCTCAATGGTCAGGGGAGGGAACGTGGGGAGGGATAAGGGAAATCCCAGGGGCTATGAAACTGTATCATAAAATGATAATGACAGAAAGGTTTTTTTTTAAAGGATCAAGTTTAGGCTCCTACTGGGGTAGAGACTTCAGCACTACAATGAAGCAAAAGAAGATGCACGGGAACTAGGATCCGTCCATCCAGGCAGTGCTGCTGCATGGGAATCTGGCCCAGACGCTGGTGGTTTGGTGTGGCCATTTTAAACAGCTTGGATACCCAGCTGCCTTCCTATGATCAGCAGGACTAAGCATCCAATCTGAATGCAGGGACTTCTTCAGCGAAAGGGCTAGGGGCTCTTGGTTCTTGGCACATTCAACAGCAGCTGGGGGCTTCCCCGCTCCACTTCCAAGCCTAGATCAAGGCCAAAGGTCTCCTTCGAGCCTACAGCCTACCGAGCCTACGCCACCTGCTATGTTTACTCAGCCACAGGGCCTGAGCTGGGCCCAGCCCAGGTGAGTCACTGCATGAGGCAGGTACCACCCTTCCCCGAGCAGGAACACAGGCTGGGACAAGGGTGTCACCTTCTTGGGAGCACAGAGTGCCGGCAGTTGCCCGAGGAAGCACAGCAGCAGTTATCTGCAGGTAAGAGCCGGCCCCTGCTGGGATGCAAGACCTGCCTCTACCCTCCTGGGTTGCGTTCTCACCTAGCTCGGGGTCAGGCTTAAGGGCTAGTGGTGTCTTCCTGTAGATATTATGAGGACCTGGCTCCTGCTGACTGACTGTGCTTGAAGGGGTGGGACCCACACTCTGCTCCTTGTAGTGGGTACCAAGAAGGTGAAGGCCTCCAAAAATTTGTCACTTCCCTCTCTGTCTGAAGCTGTTTTTCTATCAACCACCTCCTTGCCACCACACAGAAAAGCCTGCTAGGGAAGTGGGACAGGGCCAAGGCCTTCCCTTCTCCCAGAAGTAGTTTTTCTCACCTGGAGACTGGAAACAGGCCACAGGGAGAACTATAGGAGGTCATGGATTTGGTGAGTGGCACACCGCCTTCACACAGCAGGGGCTCAGAACAGGGAGTTTAAATGAAACTGTTGGCTGGCCAAGCCCACGCTGGTCACAGAACCACCTAGCATCGCCTCTGACCTGGGCTCCCTGTTGCCATCTCTGCCCTTAGTCCCCAAACATCAGCCAGTGGAACATGTTAATGTGATAACCCGACCACAGCACTCTGCTGCTCAGTTTCCCCAGGGGCTCCCGCCTCACTTGACACACAGGCCACAATGGATCTAGAGCCTCTCCCTACTTCTCCAGCCCCTTCCCCAGCTAATCCTCCTTGGAGCAGCCTCCCTGGTCAGCTGTTTTCTAAATACAACTTACACTCACACCTTTGCAGTCCCTATCTCCCTATCGTAATACTCTTCCGCATCTCTATAGGTGCAGTGGGTCCCCTCCTGGTAATGAGGCTCCTCTGCATCCTCTCTCCACTTCTAACCCTGCTCTGCTTTCCCCCCACCCCAGCACTTTCCACCACCACACACAGCCTGCAAAGTCACAAGCTCATTTTCCCAGCTCCAGAAAAGGCATTTGTCAAGCAGCAACTTTGCCTTTGTCCACTGCTTTACTGCTTGCATCTGGAATAGCACAGGCACTTGGGAAGCCTCTGGAAGTTAGGTGTTGAATGAAAGACCAGAAAACTGGCTATTAGGGGCCAGGTGCTGGGCTAACTGCCTTCCAACAGCACTTTCAGAGCTACCTGCAAGGCACTGTGATGCCAGTAGTTACCCTTATCACGAAGGCCAAGATTCCACTGGGGGGCGGGGGGGCATGCAGCCTGAGCTCTGCTCTGCAGGTCACAGGTGGTCAGACCCCGGCTCCTGCCCTGCTTCCTCCCGGCATGGTTTCATAAACTGTGACTCCTCAAGTCTAACCCTTTTCCTGGGCTGTGAGTGAGCAGACACACTGGTGGCCTAGCAACAGCCTTTTTGATTCCAGCTCATAACTGCCGGGGCTCATGTGGCCCTCCAGGAGTTATTCCGCTGACTCTCTGGCCTACGCCTCCCTCCCACACGCTGCCTTCCTGGGGATGGATGAGCTGTCCACAGGAACAGGTGGGAGTCCTGCAGCCTCTGCTCTAGGGAACAGTGTGTTTGTTCTCCTTTGAAGTTCAGAGCTGCCTCTAATAGTTCAGGCCCCCTTTGCTATCCAGTCCTGGTGCGCTCCCAGGCCCTGGTGAGATTTTTGATGGGTACTGTTATTGTGGCTATCAACAGGGATGGGAGCAGGCAGGAAGGAAATCTAGAAGTGCTATAGGAAAGGAAAACTCTGGAATACAAGGGCTATATGGGCTGTCCTGGAAGCAGTTACTTGCAGAAGTGCTCAGCACAGAGCCGGAGGACGTGGTCCCATGGACGGACACCCTGGAGGCACCGGGCAGCCTTCCACCATCCCCTCTTCCTCTTCAGAGCTGCCACCTGCTACCTTTCTGGGCCCAGGTATATTTTCTACTAGAGAGGTTTTGTTAACTGTGGTCAACAGTTGGGAACAGGAAGAAAGCCTGTGCATTTAGGTTTTGGGGCCTTTTCCTTTCCTTTGTATCTGCTGTTGCATTCCTTGATCAAACAGTCCCCAGGCACCTGCTAGAGAACACAGGTGACTTAAAAATGAGTGTCCATCCCTGACCAGTGAGGGGGACAGGCAAACAAACACACCAAATCCCAACCCCCAACCCAGGAAATGTAGACAGTCTTGCACTTAATAAACGTTTAGGGAATGCAAGCTAAATATATGACACTGGGGGTGCTGTCAATTTCGAGGGCCAGTTGGCAGGTGAGGGTTCGCAGGAAAGCTTCAAAAGAGGGAGAGTTCAACAAGGTGAGCCAGGCAAAGACAGAAGGCATGAATGGCACTTGGGCAGAGGGGACAGCACCTGCAGGCGCCAGGTGCCAGGAGCAAGCAGGCTGAGTGGTTTGGAATGAACATAATCATACAGAGAAAGGACTGGGGAGGAGTGACCATGGCTGACCTGACCAGGAATTATGCTGTGGAAATCTAAATGCTAGCTCCAGGTCTAAAGTTTATCCTGAGGGAAGGAGCCTTGAGGAGAAGGGAAAGGCCAGAGCTGGGAACACAATTTCCGGCTCAGCTCAGGTATACACATACAGCAGGGCTGCGGTGGTTTGGCAGCACAGCTGGACAAACCCTGAGGAATAGCCTGGAGGCAGTAAAGGACTCCAGCCTCTCCCTCGCTGGACTGGCGGAGGCTGTTTCCAGTTAACTACTTGAATCTTCACCCTGCATGACCCCGGTCAGGGTCATCCTTCCTCTCACAGAGCCTTCTGGTTGCCTTGGCTTCGCCCCTGCCCTCTACATGCACCTGCCTGCCTGCACCTCTAAAAATGAATGCACAGAGGATCTGGCCTCTCGGTGGACACGATCAGCCAGTCCCCTCCCGTGGATAGCAGGGTCCCAGTGACTCAGGCACAGAGCGCCAGGGTGAATTTGCAAGGGGTGAGACAGGGATCAGCTGCAGCCAGAGCCAAGCCGGAAAGCCGGAGTTCCAGAAAAAAGGCGCAGGAAGAGTGACGTCACAATGGGCAGGAAGCACTGGGAAGTTTGGGCGCTTCCGAAACCTAGGGGAGCGGGGCTGGGAGCCAGGGGGCTTCCAGGGCCAGCGGACTTGGGCCTCGTCCCTCCCACAGCTGCTTCAGTACGCAATCTGGCCCCGCACCCCCACCTTGGATGCTGTAAATGAGGTTCAGAGGCCAGAGGCGGGGGAGCCAGGGGCCACTCGGCCCCCGCGCCACCTCCAACTTGGTAAAGGGGACACGGAGCCCGACCTAAGCCTGGTCATCCCGCACTTTGCCGCTTTACCTCATTCTTTTTGTGATGGCCAGCGCCACCCTCAGGCGCCTGGAAAGCCTGCGGCCCGGCGGACTCCAGCAACCCACCGGGCCGGCCTCCCACACGGAGTGGAGGCGGATATTTCTTCAGGAGACGCCCTGAAGCGGGCGGCGAAACGCATGCGCTCCAGACTCCACGGTGCAGTCCAGGGGGCGGTTCTGCGCAAGCGCTGGAGCCCAGAGCAACCGGGAGTCGCCGCTTTCCGCCCAGTGAGGAACAGCGAGGGCGTGGCCGCCAGAGTCTTGACGGGAGAGGTGAAATAGTGTGCTGCAAGGGTAGACTGAGGCCGGCGGTGGAGAACAGGCCCTGGAGGCCGGCGGACTGCTCCGCAGTGCATGACTTGGTGCTTGGTTACTGCCATTTTCCAAAACCAGAGTTGAAGACAGAGGGAAGGAACAGGTGAAGCTACAAGCAAGGACGAGTTCCTGAGTAAAAAAATAAATAAAAATATCAATAGGATGTCATGTCTTTAGAAAGGAGGGGTAAGGGAAATGAAAATAATTTGTAATAAAAGAATATTTTAGTGCTCACACTGGATTACCTCTGATCACGGATATGTCTGATTTAGGAGTGGGTTTGGATTTAGAAGACAATATGCAGCTGACCTGCATCCCGACCCCCACCTGTGCCAGGCGCAGCCCCCTCAGTTCCCTGTGCATGTCCCCTGCTTGGGACACACATTGATCCTGAAACACTGCGATCTACCTGGGAACGCAGGAAGAAGCACAAGGGAGGAGGAGCTTGGGGCCCTGGGGCGCAGTGCAGTGGTCTCCTGGCTTGGAAGCGGGAGAGGCCTGTCTAGAGGGAAGTATGGGTGCCAAGGAGATGGGGCGGGGAGTGTCTAGCAAGGACAGACATTCTGGTCGCGACCAGGCAGTGTGACAGGGCGAGGGGTAGTGGGATAAAGGAAGCAGTTCAGAAAGAGACACTGTTCTTTCCCAGGTTTTTGTCGAGAAAGGAAACTCCATGTTTTCTGAGATCACCAGGCACCTGCCTAGGCAGCCAGCTCAGAGGCCCTACGACACCCACAGTAAAGTGTCCCTGTCCCCAGGCTCCCCACTTTGGGGTGTGATGCTCTGTCAAGCCTCCTGCAATCTGTGAGCAGCTTCCTTCATGGTGGCCAAGATCAGAGGTTACAGCAAGGCAAGGTGGGAGATGTGGCCAGCAGAGCTCAGACTTGCAGAGGTAGATAGAGTGTAGAGGGCTCCAAGGGTCCCGCTACCTTTCTGGCTGCAAGTTAATCCCGATGCTGTGCTCACCTAACACAGGCCTGGTGTGTGCATAGGTTCCTGAAGCACACCTGCTGGCTTGAGGTCAGGCCTTGAGTGGCGAGACCACATTAGCCCATCTGCTCCTTGAAATATGCAGGGTATGTGTGTGGTCCATGGTCTTGCTTGCCTTCCAGTGTGTCCCAGGGTCTGGTGGTGGGGGGAACCTCTGGATCTGGGTTCTGAAGCCCAGGGTCAGAGGAACATGGTACCATGGAATTTCGGGGTTGGAGGCCATTGGCTCAAATCCCAGCTTCCTATCTTTCGAAGTGGGGATGACGACCTTTTCTGCTGACTTTCTCTAGTTCTGGAGTGCCAAGGGCACTTGCTGTTCCCTTACCCCTTCTCACACCCTGAGCTCTGCAGGTGTTCCACGGAGCAGCCATGTCCACCCTGTACCCGTCTCTAGAGGACCTGAAGGTGGACCAAGTCATCCAGGTAAACTGCCTGATAACCTGGGCTGTCTGACTGTTGCCTTGAGGAAAGCTTGGTCCTGGAAAATGATAAGTGTGCAGCTCCTGCTGCAGGGCTTGCTGGAGTGTTCAGAGGCCAAGGCCAAGGTCAGTGGACTCCCAGCAGAAGTGGGAAAGACTAAGGCACTGCAGATGTGTCTGTCTTCTGTCCTGCCTAGCCCCCTCACCCGCGCCCCCCCCCCAACCAGATGGATCCCATGCTGCCTGAGGGATCCCTTGTGTATGGTTTGGAAGCTACTTCCTCCTTCCATCCTACTGTTTGGTGCTCCCAGGGGCTTTCAGGAACTTGGTTCAGAAATGGACCTTGCTAATTGGGTTGCGACACTTGGTGGGTGGTAGGGTCTCAGGAAAAGCCCCTTTCAGAGATGGGCACACATGACCTTGAACCCTGAGGACTAAGGGGCCCTGCTCCAACCTCTGCAGACATCCTTGTTGCCCAGAACAAAGGCTGACAAGTCCTTCCTATCACTCTCCAGGCCCAAGCCAGGATGTCAGTCCCACCAGGCCCAGTGGTAACTACCTCCCCACCTCCAGGTAAGTCTCCCGCAGCCCCAAGGGCACTGCAGGTCCAGGTGAGCCCCAGGTACTAGCAGGAACTTTGAGGCTCTGGGGAGAATGTAGGCTGGCACAGGGTCTCCTGTCTGGGCCACAGTAGTATCCCACAGTAGTACCCCACCCTCTCCTCCAGCCGTTTCCAGATGTTCACCTCTTCTGCACCTGTCCTCCTCACTAGAAGCTTTGGAGGGGACATAAAGGAGAAAGCTGACTTTGGGTGGGTGGGGACTTCTGACCTGGGGTCCCTGTAGCAGGAACCCTGGGAAGGCCCCTGGAGGTGCTCTGGAAGCAGTTTTGATGCAGGTAAACTTGAACTCAGGGTCTGCACCTCCCCCTCCTGGGCAGTCTACCTCCTCCATTCCTTTGGTCAGACACCTGTCTCCCTCCTGGCCACCACTGAATTCCTACAGGCTCCTGCACCAGCACTGTTCTTAGAGTTCTATTTCCAGCTATAGTTGAGTGCTCAGAGTGGGGCCCCAGGGACTCTCAATGAAGATGAGTGGTTGCATGGTCATGGCTGTGCCCTTGAGTAATACCTTCTTTCTTTTTTCCTTCCCTCTGCAACCAGTTTTGTACCCAAACCTGGCAGAACTGGAGAATTACATGGGCCTTTCCCTTTCCAGCCAAGAGGTCCAGCAGAGCCTGTCTCAGACTGTAGGTATCTGCCTCCTGCCATATCCGGGTGCAGGAAGTCCCGCCTGCCTTCCTCCCTGATCCTGCCACTCAAACAGACTTCCTGCATCTGAGTTTGAGTCCCCTCTCTCCCTGGGATTCTTGTGGTTCTGTTCTTCCTGCTGTGTTTCATTGTGAGGCATAGAACATCTGGCAGAGATTCTGATTGTAGCTGTACGGGATGGGCGTATCAGTTTGGGATGTATTTAGACCCCCTGATATCTTTTATCAGTGTTTTGTCATTTTTAGTCTACAGTTTCTGTACATGTGTTATTGGACTTTTTTTTGTTGTTTTTGAATGACTGCAAATAGTATTATACTTTTATTTCTGTTTCCCCAGATTTATTGTCAGTGTGAAGAAATATGTTAATCTTGTATCCTATAGTTTTTCTGAGATTATTTATTCAACCTGGGAGTTTAGTTGTTGGTTTTTTGGGACCATCATGCCATCCGTGAGTGGGAACAGTTCTATTTTTCTCTTTTTTTTTAAAAACAAAATTATTTTTTACTTGAAAGAGTCATACACACACACACACACACACACAGATCTTCGGCTGGCTGATTCACTCCCCAAATAGCTGGCAACTGCCAGAGCTAGGCTGACCTGACGCCAGCAACCTGGAGCTTCTCCTGGATCTCCCATGTGGTACAGGGGCCCAAGACTGTGGGCCATGTTCCACTGCTTTCCCAGCTGCATTAGCAGGAGCTGTATCGGAAGTGGAGCCACAGGAGACACAAACCTGGTCCACTGTGGTATGCCAGGGTCCAAGGTGGAAGGTTAGCTTGCTACACAGCTGTGTAAACTCCTTGTTTCTTCCTTTCTAACCTGCATGGTCACTGCCCTTTTTGGCCCCTTGCTGCTCTGCTGGCTTTGTGTCATTGTGTTTCATAGAGGTAGGGTGAGTGGATAGCCCTGCCTTGCCTTGCATTTACAGGGAAGTGGTCATTAAGTTTAAAGTTTAAATACTTCTAGTTTAACTTTTTAAAGACAAAGATAAAATTGAGTCCTCTCATCCTCAATTGCACCTATTGACTGTGAATTTCTTTTGCATTTCAAGTGGATTAAAAAAATTTTTTTCTCCCTGATCCCAGGTGGACTTGGAAAATGAGGCTCCCCTGCCAGTATCCCAATTCTCTTTTCTCTACTTTCTCAGGTTTTTACGGACATGGACCTGACGCCCTCTAGTGGCTCCGTGGGGCCACGTCCTTTCTATGGTTCCCGCGCGGAAGCGCGGCTGGAGGCGGGGTGGGGGTGAAGGATCCCTGCAACCTCCTTTTCCCACCCTGTCCCTATGCCTAGTGACCTCAGGGGGCAGGGGACCCCAGAGCCGAGCTGACCCTCTGCCCTCCTGCCGTCTGCAGGTGGCCGTCTCGGGCTCTTGGGCAGGCCAAGTGGTGGCACCTGTGTCAGGGAACAGCCTGGGTGTGCAACGAGCAGAGATCAAACCTGGGGTGCGGGAGATCCAACTGTGCAAGGATGAGCGCGGCAAGATGGGGGTGCGGCTGCGCGCCATCGACAAGGTACGGAGGTGTGCTGGGGCCTGAGAGCCTCTCCGAGGGGTCCAGGTATACGTGTTCCTCTGCAGCGCCTCCAGGTGCAGCAGTCTCAGGCGGCACCTTAGCTCCTAAGGCTCTTCCCCTCCACGCTCCTCGCTCAGAGCCCCAGGCCTAGCGCTCCCTTTCCAGATTCTCCTTAGATCCTGGATACCAGGGAGGCGGGCTGCCTCTGGGACCGGATGTGACCCCTGGCTGAGCTTGAAATACCAACTCACCTCTTCCCAGCTGCCAGGCAGTTGGGAGTGTTGCCTCCCAGGAGATGGGGATGGGGGAGTGTGTGTGTGTGAGTTGAGGGGGTGGGTAGGAGGTGGTGGTGGCGGCAGTTGTACCTGCTTTGCAAAGCTGTGGTCCTGGTCAGCTGTAGGCCTTAGGAGTACCCTGCAGCTGGGAGTAGTAGTCTGGGAAGTGGGTGGTTGGACCAGGGACACTGACTCTGGGGTTTTGCCTCCCCCATCCAGGGGATCTTTGTGCAGTTGGTTCAGGCCAACACCCCTGCATCCCTTGTGGGATTGCGCTTCGGGGACCAGATCCTGCAGATCAACGGGGAGGATTGTGCTGGGTGGAGCACAGACAAAGTGCACCGTGTGCTGAAGAAGGCCTCAGCTGAAAAGATCATCATGATTGTTCGGGACAGGTGAGTGATAGGGCCTGGGATGGTTCTGATGGCCAGAGTTGCGTTGGCAGCCGGGTCCAGGTCACCATTTTTTTTCCCTGCCAGGCCATTCCAGCGGACTGTGACCACACACAAGGACAGCATGGGCCAAGTGGGCTTCTTCATCAAGAAGGGCAAGGTCACCTCCATTGTCAAAGGGAGTTCTGCGGCCCGCAATGGGCTCCTGATCAACCACTACGTGTGCGAGATCAATGGGCAGAATGTCATTGGACTCAAGGTAGGGGTGTGTGGGTAGTTTCGGGGAGGCAGAAGCAGAATAGTATACCAGAAGAGCATCATCAGTACCCATTAAACAGTGGCTTCTCTATTGGCCTGGGAGAAGTTGAGTGTGGCCATGCCCTTGGGGCTGTGGGCCATGGATGCCTCCTTCCTTTGGGGACTCTTCATGGGGTCATACTGGCTCCTTCTTTGTAATAGAAGCCCTTTAGAAAACAGTGTTCACTTTTCAGAAGTAGGGAGCTGCATCCATGGACAGCAAAAAGGGGCAGGAGGTCTAGGGATGGGACTGTGGGTGTGGAATGGAGGATAGTCATCTTTGGGGACCCTTGTAAACTAGTGAGCATGGTTTTCACTTCACGTCAAAGGAACTGAGGGTAGTTCCCAAGCCTGGCTGAGTCTCTAATGAGGAGCCCTTCCCATTCTGCAGCCCAAGTTAGGGAGCACCTGGGCAGGGCTTTCCCTAGCAGAAGGGCCTGGGATGGATGGTCACCTGCCACACCTGGCTCAGTCTTCTCATCCAGTCATTGTCTGTCACCGAGCATCTGTGGCTCTGTGTATGCTCAGGTAGCCCTGGACTGTCCAGGATGCCCCCTGCTGCCACCTGGGTCCTCCAATGTCTGGCTCAGGGACCCCAATTCAGTGCAGCTGCAGCATCCAGATTTTAGAGACCTTGAGTCCTGGGATAGTCTCTTAGCTCTTTTGTTTCAGCCATTGTGGAGAGCAGTCATTGGAAGATGTGCTTTTCTCATCTTTCCTGAAGGTTCAGGATGTGGTCATGACCTTGCTCTCTATACACAGTGTTTTGTTGAGGCTTTTGGGGCCTGGGTTCATTCCTTGCCCGGCCTGCCCCAGTTTGCTTCTTGAGACTGCTTATCTTTGCAGACCTTGGTAGTTGTATCCTATGGCCATTACTAGGCCCTGTTAACATCTTCTCTCATTTGTTCTAGAACATCTAAGAAGACACATAATCCAGGTACACAAATGTGTACAGTGAACATTGTGAGACTAGGGTCAGGGCCAGAGGCTGTGCCGGGGCCCTAGCTACAGGGTTTGGATGGGCAAGCCTTGCTTGGTAACTGCTAGTATCTTTTTAAGAGACAGAGGGACAGGAAAGAGATGAAGAGACTGTCTCCATCTGCAGGTTCACTTCCCAAATGCATGCAATGGCCGGGGCTGGGCCAGGCAGAAGCCAGGAGCCAGGAACTCTAAAGTCTCCATGTAGGCATTGGAAACTGGAGTACTTGAGTCATCACTTGCTGCCTCCCAGGGCCTGCATTAGCAGGGAGCTGGAGTCAGGAGCTGAAGGCAGGATTTGAACCCAGGTCCCCTGCTGTGGGATGCAGGCATCTTAACCACTAGGCTGAACAACCCCCTCCCCAGCCCAGTGACTTACAGTTCTTTATTCTGCCCTTGATTTATCTATGAGATGTAAGAGAAAGAAGGTCCATAAGGCCCTGACTCAGGCTAGTCAGGCAGCAGGTACATTTTGTGTCAGGGCTAGAACCCAAGTGTGGCTAAGGCCTGGGAGATGGGAGGGAACGGAAGGAGAATGAAGTTTGTGAGGCTGTGCTGTGTACCCCATGCCTTCAGAGGAACCTGGGGAGTGCTCCTCGGGTAGGAAGCCCACAGTCTTGTTCAAACAAGACCTTACCTGGTGTCTCTGCCCACAATCCTCACCTGTTAGGGTCATGGGTAGCCTGGCATCAGGTGGCAGTGTCCTTCAGGGGCCTGCATGCAGAGCTGCTGTGGGCTCCTGGTTCCCAGGGCGACTACTTACTGGCTTCATTTCCAGGACAAAGATATTACAAAGATTTTGGCCACAGCTGGAAACGTCATTACCCTGACTATCATCCCAGCTGTCATCTACGAGCACATGATCAAGAAGTAAGTCTGCCACCTGCCTGCCACTCACCTTATACCTCCCAGCTCACCTGGGCCTGCCCACTCCTCTTCTTCCCTCCCTTCTTCTCTCCTTCCCTCTCCTTTCCCCAAGGGGGCTCCTGGCTTCTGGAGATTTGGTCCAAGACCTGGGAGTGAAGGCTACAGTGGGTGCACTGGTTTGGTGGGGGGCAGGGGAGGGGAGAGCAGGCAGGAGCTAGGAGCTGGCAGCTTTGCTCATGGTTGCTATTGCTACATCCAGGTTGTCCCCCAGCCTGCTTCACCACACCATGGACCACTCCATCCCAGATGTCTGAAGCTGCAAGGTCTCTGGCCTGCCCATCATCCTGCCCTGGCTTGGCAGTTCGCAGCTGGCCTCTGCCCACCGTGGGTGCTGGCGGGGGTGGGTGGGTGGTGTGGTGTTCCAGGTGGGTGGACGCCAGATCAGGGGGATCTTTTCCCTTGAGCACACAGCCCTCCTGGGAGGCTGAGGCACTTAGCTGGGCTGAGGCACAGTTTTCTGAGCTGGTTTAAATGCGGGGCATGTAGGCGGCCAGCTCCACACTTTGCAAGATTTTGCCTGTACCAGGAGAGTACTTCCATGTCCTGACAGAACTCGGGGAGAGTTGTTGTTTTGCCCTTACGTGATCTTCCACATTGTGTGCAGCTGTAATCGTTCACTGTCTTATGAATAAAGATTTGATTTCAAACACTCTCTCTGAAAGGCCACAAAAATTCTAGAATCCTTGGTTTCAGAACAAGCTGGGGCTGGCTTTCCTTGTGCCTGATCCTGAGATCTGTCACTGTCAACGGTGACTTGGCTTTGTCCCTCACATGTGCCTCCTGGCTTGGTGCAGGCAGGGCCGGAACTGGGGGTCGGAGGTGGGAAGGGCAGTGAGCACAGTGGGGTAGTAGGGCTGGGAGGGGAAACAGACTTTGGGGCTCCCCTGTTGAGTGGCTCTGGTGACTACTCTATCTGTGAAATGGGTGTGGGAACCCACTTGAGAGGGTGTTGGAGAATGAGGTGTGTTGTTTTCACAGTGTCTGGCATGGTCCAATGACTAGGGTGGGAGGGGAAGAGATGGTCATAGACTTCAAGGCTGACTACCCATGGGTCAGTGGTGCCCAACCACTCACAGGGTCTGGGATGCTATTTTCCTCTACCTTGGGGCAGAGCTGCAACCTGGCTTTCTCTATGTCCCCCAGCCCCTCCCCTTAGAGCACTAACCACCGGGCAAAGAAATCAGCCAAGGGTCTCGCCGTGTTTTCATGCTTTAATTCAGAGCTGTCTGCGCCAGGTACAACTCTGTCTGAACAAAAGGACAAAGACGATGAGTGATGACCCCTCCCCACCTCCCCCCTTCCCCTGATTCACTGTCAAGGGGATGGCCCAGTAGAAGAGTGCAGTGTGACCCATGTGCGTGGTCCCCTAGGTCAATGAGGAAGGTGTGAGTTGGTTGGGCACAGGCTCCTCAGAAGGCCTTGCTCCCAGAACCTGTGGGATGTGCCCTGACCACCCCGCCCCGCAACTCCCACCCCCTGGCAAGTGCCATCAGATACCCTGTGTTAGTGGTGAGTGAGAAGGGTGTTCCAGTGAAAAGCTCAATTGGTCTTGGGGGATATTTGTATTAAACTGTGCTCAGAGCCACCTCTCCCACACGGAAGCCCAGGCTCAATTTCCCAGTTCCTTCCTGAGTTGCACCCAGTAGGGCTGCTCTGGCCAAGGCAATGGAACTCAGGAGAACCTGCTTCCAGCTGCTGGGCTCCCAGGGACCAGCAGTTCCAGGAAGTACATCCTGGGGACATGACTCCTCAGGACTTTACCAGCTCTGGCAGGAGCACTGGGCAGGAGACCCCACCTGCCAGCAGGAGGAGGTATGAAGCGTTAAGCAGAAAGGCAGAAGGGAGCCTCGGAGGGCAGCTCTCTCAATGGAAGGCCTGGCCCTGGTCCCAGTCTGGTCCCTCCCCCGGTCCCACATTCTGTGGACTGTATCATCAGAGCTGGGAGCCTGAGCTAGCAGCTGCTGCATGCACAGCGCTGCACCCTTTGCATAGATGTGGGATTTGGAGTGCATGTACACGGGCATATGTGCTGGGCAGTGAGCTGCCTCCTCTACTGGCAAGGAGAGAGGCCTTGGAAGGCCCTGCTAAGACCTCCGAAGAGAGCATCCTCATACAATGCTCAGGGCCCCTGGTGACCCACACAGGTAGGCTTCGGGCCCAAACACTGCTCAGCTCTTCACAAACAGCCTCTCCAACCACAGGAACAGGATGGACCACAGCCCCAGCCCTGCCCACGACCACCAACACACAGGACACAAAAGGCAGGCCACACACAGCAAGACACAGACAGGAGCTGGGGGCCACAAAGCTCGACTGAATTCCAGTGGTGAAAAATATATAGACTTTATGTTGTCAAATATAGTTTATACATTGATTTTCCCAGCAAAGCTTGAACTATTTCTAAGGAGATGCTATGCGGCTCTGTGATTACACAGCCCGGCCATTGGGGCCGTGGCTAGGCCCAGCTTGGCTTTGGATTAGCTTTGACCCCCTACCCCTCCATGGCACAATCCCAAGGTCCTGTGGGGCAGCCCAGCCAGGCCCTAGGCTTTTGGGTTTGGTTGTGGCTGGGGCAAGGGGGTAGGTGCTCCCCAAAGGGGCTGTTCTGAGCTCTGACAGAGGTGTGGCAGAGGGGTTCTCTGCCCTGAAGTCTGGAGCGGCTCTACTCCCAATGTATGCAGGTACCCCTTGGAGGGGAGAGGGAGGACACCGGTCAGGCAATGGCTGCTGGGGGCCCACCAGTCAGGCAATGGCTGCTGGGCAGCAAGGAGAGGGCAAGTGACCTTGGCAGAGAACCAGAGTGGCCCATAGGCCAGAGGGGCAGGTAAGGACATGGGGTCCCAGCAACCCCGCAGATGTGGGCCTAACCTCTGAAAACAGGTGGGAGGTGCAGATGGCTGTGACCCCTGTAGGGAAGAGGGGTTTGTTTGTTTTGTGAAAAATCACAGTCATCAAACTTAAACAGCTTTGCCAGGGGGACTTGAATGTCCCAGTGGAGGAGGAGGCAGATAGCGAACTGGGACTGGGGAGTGAGCAGAACACTGCTGCAGTTCCCTGCCCCGGGAAATGCATCCCCGGGGTGCCCTGCTTTGGCCTGAATGGACGTTGTGGCCTTGGTACTCTCTGTCTTGTGATTCTCCTCTTAGAACTCCCACCCTCCCCCAGAGGCAGGAGGGGGTCTCTGGTATAGGACACCTCACCCTGAAAGCAAGCGGCCAGCTACCTCCTGGAAGGTCCTGGATGGGTGAGACCCAGTTAATTGGCGAGCATAGTGCAAAGCAGGTTTTGGGCCCTAGGCCCCTGGAGAAAGTCAGGCTGGGCTCCAGGGGCAGACATGGCCTCAGGTTTTTCCTTCAAGCTGAGAATTCCTGAGTGCAGCCTCATTCAGACTGCAAATGAAGGGCCTTGTTTCGGAAGGCGGAGAAGCCCCCTGACACCACCTCTTCCTCTTGGAGGACTGATGAATTCTCCAGACGGAAGCTAGGCCTGGGCACAGAGACTCTTGGGCATATCTATCTCCTGGGAAGGATGCTCTGAGACAGTCCAATGCACCAAGAGAACAGGGTGACAGGAAGGCCTGGGATCAGACAGACAGACAGACACAGAACCCGCGCTGCCCTCTGCCCCCAGAGGCTCTTTCCTTAGGTTCTGAATCCCATAGTGGGCACAGCTGATGGAGGCTTGATCTCCAGTCCAGGCCCATGGGCTCTAGACTCTGTGCCGAGTCCTTGGGTCAGACACCTGCCTCGTCTCATCAATTACTACTGGCCCAGATACCTAGGCAGAGGACGAGGGCAGGGCAGGCTTGGGAGAAGCATGGAGCAAGCAGCATGTGGGCCAAGGTGGTACAGGCAGCACAGCCTCCCCAGGGACAGACATCCAGAGACTTCCTGTCTACAGGACCAAGGAGACAGAAGGGCCAAGCTGGGCCCTCACCAGTGTGTTTCTCTGCACTTGGTCCAGTCATAGTTCCTCCCTGCTTGCTGTCTGTTGATGTTCTGGGGTACCTTTCCCTACCGTTATTCCCAGTCACAGACACTAACATCCTGGTGGGGGAAAACAAAACAAAACAAAACAAAACCAAAACTTAATAAATAAGATGCTGTCCCAGGGGGTATGGGTGGCAGGGGAGGGCATCCCTACAATACAATCACTGGTCAGGTTGCAGGAGCCCCTCAGAGCTGGGAGCCACCGCCTGCAGGGCTGGGGCCGGCCTGGCCTAGTGAGCGGCAGCTGATTCTGCGGATGGAGTGCAAGGCCACGGTGCAGCAGCCCCGCAGCAGGGAGCTGATGTTGTAAATGGGCTGGCCCTGGCGCCGCTGGGAGCGGCAGAGCCAGGCCACCGTGGGCACAGCCGGCACCACCACGGCCAGCAGATCCACAAGGTAGTGGCGGCTCCAGTAGCTTTTGGGCTCCTTCTCGGCAGAGGCCGCTGCCTCCTCCTCCTCTTCCACGGGGCACACCACGCTCACTGATGGGCCAGGGTTGGGGTGGGCACTAGGCCGGTGTGGGGTGGGCCCACAGGTGACTGGCTCTGTGGCCTCAAGCTCATCACCCACGGTCACCACCACTGCTGAGTTAGGGTCTCTGGGCCTCTGGGGTCGGGGGTCAGGCTCTGGGACTGTCCCGCAGACCTGGGCCTGGGTCACCTTCTCCAGGATGGTGTCCAGGTCAGGCTGGTACTGCCCAAAGTCTGTCTGGATGGCACGTTCCTGCATGCAGCTGGCCTGCACACCGGCCTCCATGCCACACAACAGCTTCTCATAGGTGTTGCTGGCAGGGAAACGGGGGCCCAGGCTGAAGGTGCCATGCAGCGAGGCCTCCTCTGGGCCACAGTCCACCCCCGATGACAGCAGGCTGCTGGCCTCCAGGGCGTCCGTCCGGCTCAGTGAGTCGTCAGCTGCTGCATAGCCGCTGTCAGCGCCGTCCTCGTTGGAGGTGTTGGGGGCATCCCCGGGCTGGCGGTCACCGCAGACGGCTGGGTCACTCAGCTTGGTGTAGGTGGAGCTGCGGGTGAGGGAGCGGGCAGGGGAGCCACCGGCTGACTCCCCTGTGCCATCTTCCTTGGCTGTACCACTCTGGGCCACCTCCAGGCTGTGTAGCAGCGTCTCCAGCTTCTTGTTCTGGATGTTGATATCCACAAAATACTGCTGCAGCCCCTTGTCCTTATCGATCAGGTTGTTCTTGACGGTATCAATGACTTGCTTGAGCTGCTTGATCTCTTTGCGGGCCTCCTTCAGGGCCAGCTGGGCCTCCACGCGGTGGCACTCCTCCTCGATCCAGTCCTCCTGCATGCGGGACAGCTGCATCTTCAGGTCATCAATCTCAGAGTCCCTGCAGACAGACAACACACCCACATTCACTGCCTGCCTGCCTGCTCTGCCACGGCCTCCAGGTCACCAAGGACACAGAGTCGTGGCTCAGAGCTAAGAGACAGAAGCAGGAATCTAGTGCCTCATGCTTTCTTCTTGTTCCATAGGCAGGAGTGCATGTGCGTGGGGAGTGGAGCCCAGAGGTGAAACGGGAGAGGCAGTGGGAGATACCACTGGTACTCACTCTCCAGGGGCCAGAATGCAAGTTCATTTAAGGTTTAGATCCATCAGAGAGGACAAGGGGGACTCTCAGGTTTCAAGGGCTACTATAAAAACCTAACACAATCTTAATCACACACAGAGGAAACTTCTGCTCTATGAATGGGATGTGGCTCATCAGAGAAGGTTTTGAAAATGTCTTCTGGAGGAACAATTGACTCGAGGTCCCTAGGAAGGAGTACTGGGGGCTGGGGAGGGGCGTTGATGGCTTTATACTATCTCTCTGTGAAAGAACAGCAAGTGGTGGGTGGATGAGAAGGGAGGATTGAGGACAGCAGGGCTCTCTTCTTGACAGTTCTAGAAATGTTTCCTTTGCAGTTACCTTAAAAAGGAAAGGCTGAGAGGGTAACAAGAAAGACAAAGAGCTGGGCCACGTCAGCCAGACAATGGCAGACTCGCAGCTACCTGTTCAGCCACTCACACTCATTCCACTTGGCCCCATCAAGGACAAGTCCAGGGCCATAGCGAGAGAGGTGAGACTAAAAAGATATAAAATCTCAGGGACAGGTTTTTGGTTTGGCAGTTAATGTACTGGTTAGGATGCCCGAGTCCTTTATCAGAGTGCCTGGGTATGACAGCCTCCTCCAGCTCCTCACTCCAGCTTCCTGCTAATGGGCACCCTGCAAGACAACAGTGATGACTCAAGTTCTTAGGTTTCCATGGAAGGCCTGGATGGAGTTTCTGGGTCCTAGTTTTAGCCTCAATGTAACCCCTCCATCATGGGCATTTGGGGTGTGAATCAGCAGGTGGCAGCTACCTATCTCTTTCTCTACCTCTCAAAATAAAATTTTCTCAAAAGATTTACTTATTTACTTGAAAGGCAGAGTTATAGAAGGAGGAACAGGGGACGTAGGTAAATCTTCCATCTGCTGCTTCTAAATGGCCAAAATGGATTGAGTTAGGGCAATCTGAAGCCATGAGTCAGGAACTTCTTCTGAGTCTGCCAGGTGAGAGCAGGGACCCAAGGTCTTGGGTCATTTTCCACTGCTTTCCTACCAGTATAAACAGGGAGCTAGATTGGAAATGGAGCAGTCAGAACTTAAACTTGTGCCCATGTAGGATGCCAGTGCCATAGATGGCAGCATTACCAGCTATACCATAGCACACAGCAACAGCCCCCTCAAATAACTTATTTTTTAATTTAAGAATTGTGACTGGCTCTGTGGCATATCAAGTTAAACCTCAGCCTGCAGTGCCTGCATTCCACATGTGGATGCTGGTTTGAATCTTAACTGCTTCACTTCCAATTCAGCTCCCTGATTATGGCCTGGGAAAGTAGATGGTACAATCGCTTGGCCTCCTGCATTCATGTGGGAGACACAGAAGAAGTTCCAGGCTCCTAGCTTCAGCCAGCTCTAGCTGTTATGGCTATTTGGAAAATGAACAAGTAGATGAAAGATCTCTCTCTCTTTCTCTGCAAACCAATACATGTGGTACTCCATATCAACAAACTGAAAAATAAAAGCCATATGATCAGCTCAACAGATACAGAGAAGGCATTTGATAAAATACCACTTTATGCTAGACATGAATAAGCATAGAAGGAACATTCTATAACACAATGAAAGCAATATGTGAAAAACCCAACACCAACATCATACTAAAGGTGGAAAGACTGGAAGCTTTTCTACTAAAATCTGGAACTAGGTAAGGAGTCCACTCTTACCACTGCTATTCAATATAGTATTGGAAGTCTTTGTCAGAGCTTTAGGCAAGTAAAACAAATCAAAGGAATTCAAATCAGAAATGAGGAACTGAAATTATCCCTGTCTACTTGGGAGAAACAAAAGATTCAGTCAAGAGACTACTGGAACTCATAAGAGACTTTGGAGGATAGCAGGATGTAAAATTAATGAACATAAATCAATGGCATTACTATACACAAATAACTCCTTGGCTGAGAGAGAAATTATAATTACAGTCCCCTTTAAAATAGTGGAGATGAATCTTAAATACCTAGGAATTAATCTAACCAAATATGTGGAAGACCTCTAAGATGAAAACTGTAAAACCTTAACAAAAGAAATAGAAGACATTAAAAGATGGAGAAACTTACCTTGTTCCTGAATCAGCAGGATCAACATCATGAAAATGTCCATATTACCAAAAGTAACATATAAATTCAACATGATCCCAATCAAAATCCCAACAACATTCTTCTCAGAAATAGAAAAGGAGATACAAAAGTTCATCTGGAAACACAAGAGACCATGAATAGCCAAAGCTATCCTGAAGAATAAAAATCAAGCAGGAATAATAATTCCAGACCTCAAGACATACTTCAGAGCAGTGGTCATCAAAACAGTCTGGTACTGGTACAGAAATAGAGAAGATTAATGGAACAGAATAGAAACACCAGAAGGGAGCCCATCCATGTATAGCCAACTAATCTTTGACAAGAAAACTAAAAACAACCTAGGGAAAAATTCTGGTCTCTTTAACAAATGCTCTTGGGACAACTGGAGATTGTCCTGCAGAGAGAAGAAGCAAGACCCGCACCTGTCGCATTATACAAAAATCAGCTCTAAATGGACCAAAGACCTAAAAGCTACACCCAGAAACCATCAAACTATTCAAGGAAAACATAGGAAGCACACTCCAAGATACATGAATTGGGAAAGACTTCTTGAAAAAGACACCCAAAGCACAGGTAGTCAAAGCCAAAATAAACAAATGGGACTGCATCAAACTAAAAAGCTTCTGCACAGAAAAGGAAATGATCAACAAAGTGAAGAAGTAACCAATGGATTGGTAGAAAATCATTCCACACTACACAACTGACGGGGGACTAATAACAAGGATTTACAAAGAGCTTCAGATACCCAGTGACAGCAAAACAAACAACCTGTGAAGAACTGGATGAGGAAATGAACACGTGTTTTGCAAAAGAACAAATTCAAATGGATAGTAGACATATAAAAAGATGCTCAGGCTCTCTAGCCATCAGAGAGATACAAATGAAAACCACATTGAGATTCTACCTGACTCCAGTGAGGTTGGCTTACATTTAGAACTCTACTAACAACACTTGCTGGTGTGGATGTGGGGAGAAAGGTAACCTCCTTCATTGCTGGTGGGAGTGTAGACTAGTACAACCAATATGGAAGTTAGTTTGGAGATTGCTTAGAGAACTCCAAATAAACCTGCCCTATGACCCAGCTATCCTGCTCCTAAGAATATATCCAAAGGAAATGAAAACTGCATATGAGAAAGGGACCTGCAATCCTATATTTATAGCAGCAAAATCTACAACAACAAAGACATGGAAACAACCCAGATGCCCATTCAAAGAGGAGTAGATAAAGAAACTATGGTATATCTACTCCATGGAATACTACTCAGTCATTAAAAAGAATGAAATTCTACTATTTGCAATCAAATGGTCCCAACTTGAGACCTCAGTGAAATAAGTCAATCCCAAAAGGACAAATACCATATATTCTCTCTGATATAAGGTAAACTTCATGCGAATTATAAGATCAATAACCCCTTCAATACTGTTTTTGCTGCAACCCATGCATTTTTTTTAAAGATTTATTTTTTATTATGTTTTATTGGAAAGGCGGATATACAGAGAGGAGAGACAGAGAGGAAGATCTTCTGTCCGATGATTCACTCCCCAAGTGAACGCAACGGCCAATGCTATGCCAATCTGAAGCCAGGAGCCTCTTCCGGGTCTCCCAAGCGGGTGCAGGGTCCCAAAGCTTTGAGCCTTCCTCGACTGCTTTCCCAGGCCACAGGCAGGGAGCTGGAAGGGAAGCGCAGCTGCTGGGATAGAACCGGTGCCCATATGGGATCCCAGGCGTGCAAGGCGAGGACCTTAACCACTTGTGCCACCGTGCCGGGCCCAACCCATGCATTTTTTTTTAAGATTTATTTATTTTTTTACAAAGTCAGATATACAGGAAGGAGGAGACACAGAAAGGAAGATCCTCCATCTAATGATTCACTCCCCAAGTGAGCGCAACGGCCAGTGCTGCACCGATCCAAAACCAGGAGCCAGGAACTTCCTCCAGGTCTCCCACAAGGGTGCAGCATCCCAAGGCTTTGGGCCGTCCTCGACTGCTTTCCCAGGCCACACGCAGGGAACTGGATGGGAAGCAGAGTCGCCGGGATTAGAGCCGGTGCCCATATGGGATCCTGGTATGTGCAAGGCGGGGACTTGAGTCGCTAGGCCACCACGCCGGGCCCGCAACCCATGCATTTTGAAATTTACTTTTATTTTCATTTCTTCAAAATAGTTTATTTTCTCTTATTAAATGCTTCACTGACTCAGATCATACATTGGTACCATTTTCTCCAAGAAGCTTTTTGTTTTCTTTTTTAATTCTTTATTGACACATTGGTTATTCAGCAGTGTTATTTAACTCCATGGTACTGTAATTTTTTTTAACTTTATTCCTGTTGTTTTCGTTTTTTGTCTTTTTTAAGGGAATATATACTGTGTAATAGAAACTATCATATCCAGATATGGAGCTACAATGCAGCATGCATTTCTCTTTCCAAATCAAAAATGCACTCCCAGTGAAACTGTTGGATGTATCTTGACAATAGGATGCTTGACTCTCTGCCAGTGTCTGTACCCGTAATGTCAGGATATACTTAAATAGCAGAATGATGGGCTTATGACTGCTTATGAAGGCCTGTACTATTCTAACAATATTGCGGAAATCAGTTGCGGGGGGATTTGGAAAGGGTAAGGGAAATCTCAGAGCCTATGGAATTATATCATAAAATTAAAAATAAAATACATGGAAATAAAAACTATCCCACTGAGGTCCAAAACCAGGGAGAGATAGGGCAGTGACCAACTGAAAGTGACAAAGGAGAAACCGCAACAGGACCTTGAAAGTGCAGCCGGGTGCTCCCCCTCCAGCTCCTACATGGCCATTCTGTCCATTTATAGAAAATTCCAGGACAGACAAATCCAGAGACAGGAAGAGGAGGAGATTCAGGGACCAGCTGATTTCAAGGAAGAGAAACCACTACTAATGGGAATAGGGTTTCTTTTAGGAAATAGCAAGGTTATGGAATGCGAGTGGTGATGGTTGCACAATTCTATAAGATGTCTAAGAACCAACCAGATTAACACTTTATATCCTTGAGTTTTATGGTATGTCAATTATATCTTTAAATTTCTTTTCATTTTTTGTAGTATGGCAATTATATCTTAACAAAGCTGTGATACATTTTAACAAGACAAAAATAAAAAGGCAGTTGTGGTCTCTACCCTGAGCTCCAGTGTGCAGCTCGGAATAGCATGCATGTTTGACAGACCCCTGGAAAGAAAAGCTAATCTATGGAGACCAGGGACAGCCTCAAAGTGTCAGTTGTAAGGGCAAAGCCACCAAGCTTTAAAGACAGGGGCTGGGAGGTTGGGATAGAGCAGCTCAGCTTAGGTGGGCCTGTCGGGCTCCTAGGAGACCCCCAGGCTGGGTGGGAGCTCAGGGAAAACTTTCCTACAACTTTGCATCATCTATGGGCAGGAAGTCGATAAGCAGGAAGACTTCTAGGAAGCAAAGGAGAGATAAAGTCTGGTTTTCACCAATAGATGCAGATGAGCCAGAGAGATTTCCTATGGCCAAAAAGGGATGCCAGGCTGAGGCTAGGAGTACTCTGCCATGGGTGGGAGGCCCAGCAGGATAGGCTTTGATGGGGACCTGCCACCTGCTAGGTCCCAAGCAAAGTTTGTGGGAGCAGCTCAACTTGAAAGGAGGTTTTACTTTGGGAAGGGAGAGAATGAGTGGATGATGGGAGCTCCCCCTACCCCCATGCCATCCTCCAACCCGTCTTCCTTGAAACGTCCCAGGTTGCTAGTTCCACTGGGTGTGAAAATGACCAGTGGTCCCTGGCCCTGCTCACCGGTCCTGGAGCCGGTCCTGTGTGTCCTTCAGCCGGGCCTTCAGGTGCCGGATGCATACCTCCTTCTGCTGCAATGGAGTCAGGTACTGCTCTGGGGTTGGGGGCTTGATGCCGTGGTTGTCACTGCACAGCGTGTACTTCATGGAACGCCTGTAAGAGGATGTCCATTCCCGGAAAGGAAGGTGACAGTCAGTCAGGTCACAGGGGCAAGGGGACAAGGGCCTGACCATCTTTGTGCCTGATCACCAACGACTCAGAGCCAGACTTCCTGCACAGACTCACATGAAAAGAACATAGAGCTTGCCTGTGTGAGGAGCATGGAGCGGGAAGGCGGGGGCTCAGGTTCCTCTAGGGAGGGGTGGGAGGCAGGTTGCAGGGCAGGTGTGTGGGCCTGGCCCCATGCTGAACTTCACCAATTCTGTCTCTGCCAATCCCCACAGCAGCCAAGGGCTTCCGAGAATCGCTGGCCTCAGACATGGCAGTACTTGCCCACTGCCTCATGATGGTTCCAGTGGTGCACCCAGAGCCAGGCTTCCCACCTCCCAGCAGCCCACAGCATGAGTTTGAGTGCTGGAGGCTGGGGTGAGAGGTGCATATCTGAGTCTGTGTGAGACAGGCACATTCCCTGAGATGGTGGGGAGTAAGGGAAGGAAAAGCACTCTTCCCTAGGGTGGAGAGCTGGTGTGGCCTGTGCACAGGTATAGCCAGCATGTGTGAGCAGGCCCAGATGTCTCGAGACACTCTGATCAATTCCTTCTCACCTAACTCATGCACATGTGGGCAGGCACTGCATGAATGCACATATCCTCGGTGTGCACCTGAATCCATCAGCTTCTGCCTGGTCTGTGTGTACTTGTAAACTCCTATTCCTGTACATGCACCTGTGCCTGCACCTTGTCATCATCCTGCTGTTGTCTTCTAGGGTCCTGGCATATGCTAGGACTGGCCCATGCACATGTGTGGAGTGTCTACAGTGGCATCCTGCATGGGCACTGCTCCTAACATGGGACAGCAATAAGGCAACACCTGTGCAGGACACACTGGCCTGATCAGTGCAGAGGAGGGGATGTTTCTACCCACAGCAGACAGAGAGTAAGTGCCAAAGTTTCCACAAGACAGGAGAGCACCCCAATTCCACAGTAGACATAGCCCAGCAGCTTCCTGGCTGATGGCTGTCTCATTCAAAGAGAAGTCTTTGAGTCTAGATGTTAATACCTGGGCTCAGGAGCTAGCATTATGGTACAGCAGGTTAAGCTGCTGTCTACAATATCACCATCCCATATAAGAACTGGTTTGACTCCTGGTTGCTCCATTTTTGATCCAGACCCAGGCTAATGCAACCGGAAAGGTAGCAAATGACAGCTCAAGTACTTGAGCCCCATGTGGAGAGACCCAGATAGAGTTCCAGGCTCCTGGCTTTGGCCTGGCCCAGGCCTGCCTATTGTACCATCTGGGGAATGAGCTAGCCAGCAGATATAAGATCTCCCTCATTCTCTCTTTATGTTTTTCCTCCTCCTTCTGTGACTTGGCCTTTTGAAGATAAATCTTCAAAAACCCAAAACCCCAAACCTGGACCTGTTCTCATACAATTGCCCTCCCTCTCACTTTGTTCCTTTACAAACTGAGTATTCCCAGGTCCAGGGAGTGAAAATAATCCTCTTTGGGCCTGGGAAAGATGGGCCTTGGTGATGCCCTAGTGAGCTCTTCTGGCTTTCTCTTGCCCGTTTCCCTCAAGTCAGGCCAAAGCCCTAATTAAGGCAGTTACTGCTCGCAGCTGTCTAAGAGTTGTAGGTGGTGGTCACAGATCATCTCAGGGAAGCCTTGAGGTTATTAGCTCCATTTTACAGATGAGGCAATGGAAACTCAGAGACAAGTCAGGAAGGAATCCAAAGTCTGCGCTGTCCCCTCACATTCCGCTGCCTTCCACTTTCAGCTCAAGGCTGGGAAACAGGATGAGGTGCTGCCTCCTCCAGCTCTGACTTTCTGATCTTCCTGAGTCCTTAGGACCCTGAGCTTGCCTCTCCAACCTGGTCCTCCTTTTCCATCAGTCTCTGTTCATTTTACCCAAGGCCACAACTTACACACATTGCACATGCACTTGTCACAGGTTTCACTGTACCACTCTCCCAGCGTCCCTCCCCCACCCAAGATACTGGGGTTCCCAGTCAGAGGGCAAGGTTTGATTACCTGGGTGTGGGGCTGCTGTCACTGCCCTTGCAGGAGCCTGAGTTGCTGCTGCTGCTGAGGGAAGAGGTGCCGTAGGCATCCCGCATGCTCACGGGTGGCGAGGTACGCCTGGAGGCAGGGAGAAGAGGCAGGTGCTCACTCTGGCTGGTGGGCAGTTGCGGACACTGGGCGAACACTGCCAGGCCGCTGCGGCCCAAAGTCCCCCCACTTCGGGGTCACCGCCGGGGACAGAAGCAGATGGGGGAGAGGGAGATGCACAGACAAGGGTAACAGAACAGACAGGGAAAATCAAGATGGAAAGCCAGAAGGAGGTTGGTCCTCCCAGCTCCCCAGGGACAAGCATGAAGGTTGGGCAGGGTACAAGCCGAGGGTGGGACCCCATCTACCCTTACCCAGGAATTTCATTTCTCAAGGTTCCTCAAGGCCAAGGGAGGAGATGCCTGCGTGAACTGGGACAGATGTGGAAAAGAGTGGAGTGGACAGGAGGAAGATGAGGAGGAGAGATCCACAACAGGTGCCAAGGGGGGAAGCCTGAGTGTGCCCCAGAGGGCAGCTTGTCTCTGGTAAATGACACCTATGAGGCTAGGCCAGCTAGGACCTCAGAAAGCTTTCTTATTCAGTGTGCCCTTTGAGCTCTTCAATACCTCCAGGAGGAGGTGATAGCAAGCTCATCTTAAAAATGGGAAACTGGGGACAGAATTTGCTTAGATAACCTGCAAATCAGTGGCAGGTGGAGACAGATGCCCACCATCCAAGGGGGAGACTCACCTGCGGGATCCAGCAGAGGCCCGTCTGCTCCCTGGCAGGGACATGGCCATGAGGCTGCGGGTCCGTGTGAGGGGCGGGATGGGCGGTGTCCCGGGGGCTGAGGAGAGAGGGCGGGTTGTGGGGGCCGTGGGCAGGGCTGGGCCGGGCCATGTCATCCTCTCGTTGGGGCCGCTGCCCGGCATGGCTTCTCTCACCCTTTGGCAGGCCACCCTGGGACAGGGCACACTTAGCCCACAATTAGCTGTCGCTGCCAATAGGCTTAATCAGGCTCGCACCAAAAAAAAAAAATCACAATTGTGAAAGTCTCAGGGGTAGCTGTGAATCATCAGTCCAGCCACCCTTGGATTCTCAGATGAGGGATCGTGCCCTGGGGAGGGCAGAGGCTTTGCCCAAGACTTAGGGCTTCGGATGCTGGAGCCTCTTGCCCACCGCTGAAGCACTGAGTCTTCTATGCCATGAACCAGGCCTGCTTCTTCCCCAGTCCCTCACACTCAGACCCCACCCTTGTTCTTCTGTCCTCCCTCTTTGGTGGGGGAGCAGAGGCTGAAGGACCCCTGGAGTAGAACCAGGAACCCCAAATTAGGCTGGGCTGGTATCGCAGACCGTCACCTTCCCAGTTGGCACGTGGTTCGGGACTTCCTGTCTACAGGGAAGACAAGACAGACCAACATACCAGCACACGTGTAGAAAGACATATGGATATGCACAAACATGCCAAGGTACCATGTCTCTGCCATTCCAAGATGTACCACATGTGTCTAGGAACATGCTCAGGCAGCCTGCCCCCAACACAGGCCATGCAACTGGACCCCTGCGGCGTGCAGCCCTCAGGCATGCTTGCACCCAGCCCTGCAAATACGCATGCTGATTTTGGTATTCATTGGGAACTTAGGGCCTAGGCTCAAAGTGGATGAGGACTGAGGTAGAAGAAAGCAGAAGCACCCCACTATTTAATGCTGGGTACTTTGGTATGTAGACCCAGAAGGAAGCAACCATTCCTGAAGAGACCCACTGCTGACTCTCTTGGTGAATGGAGAGGTGGACCTAGGCCTCTGGCCCCTTCCAGGAGTCCTTAGGCCTCCTTATTAGGTGGGGGCTTGGCTCAAGAGACCTGTGGAGAAGAGGCTGGGTGTGGGCTCTGTAGGGAGGAAGCCTGCACTGAGTATTAGTTCAGAGACTCTGGAATGTGAAAGAGGTTGCCTGGATTCTTTGTTGTCAACATGCTCATCCCAAGCTAGCACCAGGGACCCAAGCCCCTACCTCCATGCTCAGAGCAGAGATGGAGGAGAGTAGCCTGGGTTACAGGACACCCAGCTGAGAACGTTATGCCCTGCACCTCCGATGCATGCAGGAAGAGGAAGCGTCACTGAGCCCCCCACTCCGCTCCAGCCCCCATGCCCAGCACATTACGTACATTACGCCAGTGATGCCTCCCAATAGCCCTATAAGGAAGTGCTGTGATTAATCCCCTTTTGCAGGTAAGAAATTCAAGAGGGAAGGGAGCTGTCCAAGCCACACCCCAGATGTGTGGCAGGACCAACATCTGAAGTAGGTGAACAACAGAGATGATAAGGGTGGATCTCAGAACCTGGAGTCCCCAGCCCAGGGACCACCCCTTTCTACGTCAAGGTCTCCCAGGAGCCTGGTCACCTCTGCCAGTGGCAGGACTGCCTCCTGAGTGGACAAAAGCACGACTCAGATGGCCTGTTTCCTGGCTGTGACACAGAATGAGGCCTGTTCTCCTGGAGGGCCTGGACACAGCCAGCATTGTGTGCCCAGAGGTGTCAGGTGGCAGACTGCAGGAGCTGCCGACACCACGCCTGTCACCTGAGCTGCCTGCCCCACCTTGGCAATGCCTCTTACCTCCTAGGTCCCAGACACCCAGGCAGGGCCTCCCAAGCAGGAGGTGTGGGGCAGGGGTGATTTGGTGGTGGGGTGGGGATGGTACAGAGTGGCCAACAAAGCTCCTCTGTATCCTCAGGGTAGATTCCAAAGGCTCCCTGCCTCTCAGTACAGGGTAACCTTGACCAGGAACAGCTGGGGGCTGAGTGGGCAAGGGCTCCAGGGTCATCTGTTATTAACTGGCTCCTTCTATGGCCAGAGGAGTCCACCAAGTACATTCATGTGCCCTGCTCCATTACGCCAAACTGCAATGTGGCAAGGCAGCCCTGACTCTCTATTGGGCCAAGGTCCCACAGCTACAGGTCTGACAGTCCCTGGTTTCCAGCCCAGATCATCCCAACCTTCCTGGCCATTTTCCCACTATCGCCCACTCTCTACCTTTTGGGTCTGGGGAGACTGCAAGCTGGAGGCCGTGCTTTCATAAGGGCACCCAAGCAAGGCTGGACTTGTGTCTGCAAAGGGCCTTTCTCTTCCCAGCCAGCATAGTGGAGGTTGCCAAAGAGGCAGGAAAGTACAGGGGAAGTTCTAGATGCAGGTCCTGGGAGGCAGGCTAGAGGCCAAGCTTGTCTTGGAGCCGCGTGTGGCCTTGGGACAAGGAGGTGTTTGTCCCAGCTGTCCCTGCTACTACCTTGCTTGGCAGCCCCATGCCTCCTTCTTCTCAAGTTCCCTTTTTCTGTCTCCCAGCCCTGGGGGGGAGGAAGTAGAGGGTGGGAAGGGGGTGACATTTGTACCTGGATGCAGCTGACAGTCTCCTGGGAGGCCTGATCCGGCCATTCATCCGGGACGGAGGTGGAAGTGGCATTTCCCCTGCTGGGACGGGCCCTTTCAGGCAGGGCCCCTTTGGGGAGGATGGAAGCCACCCAGGCCCAAGGGAGCCACCACTCCAGAATCCTGACTGCAGCCTCAGGGTTTACCTGTGCTGGCTCAGGTCCCCTCCCCTCTAGGCTCCTAGAGGAGGCAGGTCGCCATGGCATTTGTCACCATGCTGCCTGAGAGTCCCACAGCTCAGAGTCCCACAGGTCTGTCTCTAGGCAGCTAGGGGCCACCACTTGGACTAGAAGGAAGAAAGGAAAGGGGAGCCTATGGGAGCTGGGCTGAGGGTCTCTCCTCACCCTGACCCTTCCCTCATACCCGCCTCCCTCCACTCCCCTGTCTGCCCTTACAATGACCATACTATGTCCATCCTTTGATTGCTCTCATTGGTGCCCAGTGTCTTGAAGATCTCTGGTGGGGGTTGTCTAGGGAACAGGAGGCTGAAGGATACAGTGTTACTTAAGTGCAGTTTCACTCCTTGGGCAACCACAACACTGCTCTGAGCTTTAGCCCCTCTGAAAGTGGGGGTGTCATGAAGGTACCTCCTACAATTACTATGAGAATCACAAGGATTCAAGCAAGAACCAGGCTCAGTCAGTGTTCATGACACAACAGACCCCAAACAGTGAGGGTAGCCAGTGTTTACAATGTTGCCACTAATGTCAGCTTCTAAACAGAAACACAGTCAAGGCACAATGGTGGCCTCAGGAGGGTAAGGGAAAAGCGTCTTTAAACAAGACATTTGCACCAGGTCTTGAGGGGGTGGAAAGGAGTTGACTGGCAGAAAGACAGAGAAGCCTGTGCAAAGGCAGCTAAGGGCCAGGCCAGCCAGAACCACCTGAGCAGGGATCTTGTCCTATAGGCAACAGGGAGCTGTGGAAGCACTCACAAAGGAAGAGGGGGCATGATCAAGTCTGCATTTGAGAAAGCACTAGGAAGGGAGCCTGAGTGGGGTGAGGCTGGGAAAAGACAAGTGATGAAAAACTCCTAAGGAATCAGCCGGAAGCGCCTGGATTAGGGTAGGGGCGCATAGAGCAACCTTGACCAGGACTGGCCTGGTCAAACTCTAATTTGCTAGAGACCCCTGACTCATTAAAACATGCAGCAAACTCCCAATCCTGGCTTTCCAGGCCCTCCAATTCATACCCTTTCATCTCTCTCTCTCTCTCTCTCTCTCTCTCTCTCTCCTCATCTTTCTCTCTCTTCATATTCCTCTCTTTCCTTCTCATGAACTCCATGAGGGATTTGTTAGTCACTTGAGCCTCTACATCTCTGCATAGGTTACCTGTCCAGCGCTCAACACTCTCCCTGCCCTCACTCGGGGTTCCTATCCTGCCATGGGTCCTACCCAGCTCCTTTTCACTGCCCCATCCCATCTAATTAACATGTCATGCTTTAGGCTGAAACTCAGGGGATACCACCTGCTGAAGTTCATAAAACTAGACACAGTCAACACTGCACTGCTGGTAACATGGTTCAAAGAGGCACACTTGATGGATGAGGGAGTTGGATCAGATGGTCTCGAAGGAGCTTCTGGATCTGCCATTTTCCAATTGTGGGTTTTTTTGTGAATGGATTGGCTTCCTATTTGTTCTTCCCCTCATCAGTGCCTAGGGCACCTCCATCTCAACTACCACGTGTGTGAGAGAGGGAAGGGCCTTGTGCAGAGAGCCACTGTGGCTTTGCACTCAATCAGTAAGGCCTGGAGGGAAACCAGGGGCTTGTCTTCTTTTAATTTGGCAGCGATGTAAAAGTCCCTGGATGTACAAGCAATTCTCTTCTTTCCAAAGCATAAGCTATCCACAAAAGAAGAAAGCTGCTTTAAAATCGGAGGGAACTCAGCAATCTGTCTGATGACTCAAGCCACTGACAGCTGTGGAGAGCAGAGCACTGCGCCCAGTGGAACAGGGTCCTTCTCTCTGCCAAGGCAACAGGAGAACGCAGAACATTCTGCCTCTTAACCAGCAGAGCACCCGGTACTGCTGAACTGCTAAGTCAGAGAGAAGTGGGAAGGGAAGGACGTCCTGGGAGCATGCCAGCAGCCATGCTTGAAGTTTTAAGGGATCAGAGCCAGGAGAGCTATCACGAAGTGTTGCGGAGCAAACCCTCCACCAACTCTACCACCTCCTCTGTGTGCCATACCTTTGGCCAAAGCCAGGCATTTCCTTCCCTGATTTGGTAAAGGCAGGCAGTGGAGGCTCTTCCCCAGCTCCATTTCTGTTTGCTGCCCCAGCCACTTTCAGAGCTAGAACCACAGATAGGAGCCCTTGATCGCTTCTTCCTGCAGTAAGAACCCCAACACAGCAGCTGGGTGGATCAGCAATGTAGGCAAATGCTGCTAGGGGTTGCCAAGGCAACCAAGACAGGCTGGAGGGCTGAGGCAGTTGCTACACGGATGTTTCTGGTGAGTAGGCTCCATTGCAGAGCTCAGAGAACACGGAGCCTGGGGTCCAGCTAGGAGGTACTG